ATGAAATGTTTTCATAAAATATTAAAGGGTTATTATTAATATATGAAAGAAGAGTAGGTTAACTGAATATTGTTGATGAATATGAAAAGAGGTTAATGTTAATGGGCTTTGGGGTAATCAGGAAACGAGTCAGGCCCAAGCTTGCCTTGAACGAAATTAGGGTTTAGGCGTTTGGTTCAGTTTGAGCGAAGGCAGCGGCGCCGTGCGTAAGCTCATCTTCTTCGTTCTTCCTCACCTCCCTGCGTGCTGAATGTGATGCCTAGTGATGCCGAGCCAACCCAACGCCACCTCCGGTTCCTCTCATCTCCGCGATTGGACTAAACCTAAACGAACAGGGTAACGATCTCACTTTCTCTATCTTAGAATTTTCACTCTTCTTCTTGCTTAGTCTGAGTTATAATCTTACTCGTTATTATCGTTTGTTTTTCTTTTCTTGAGATTGAGAAGGGGACGAAAAGCTACCTTAATTTGGGGAGATGGAGGAAAGGGAACCGGAACTGGAGGCGTTGAGGAGGCCGGAGCGGCGTGAGGAACTTTGAGCTTGCTTTGCTTCGGGTATTTTCGTTCCTTTGATATATTTAGGGTTTGATGATGACGCTAGACTGAGAACCTTAATGTGCACTTCTTTACCTCTTCTTCTTCCACTGTGAGCACTGTATATTTTCTCGTATCACCCTGTGATGACCTCAAAGGTCTGAGGGTCTAGGTTGCCTCCGTTGCCCTGACTATGCTTCTTGTCGTTGCCTTGGGAATTCTGTATGTTGCTTTTGCCTATGTTGATATCGCTTCTGAGGCTTGGTGCTTGAATGTTTTAGATATTGGTTTCATAAGATGGTGAGGCTTGAGTTTGGGATATGACAGGATGTTAGTTTCATAAGATGGTGGGGCTTGAGTTTGGATATCAGGTTTGTTGGTTTCATAAGATGGTGAGGCTTGAGTTTGGATATCAGGTTTGTGTGTTTAGCATGAAGATTGAGTTCTGAGATGTGTGTTTAATGCAGGGTATTCTGAGTTTTGGTTATCAGCTTTTGTGGGTGTTTGAAGGTTTTGGGACAGTTTGAGGGTTATGACATTGGTTGGAGCTTTGGACTTTCACAGGTTCAGTAGCCTTTTAGTTTTTTGGGTTTGAGGATGTTGGTATGGTGAGGTTATTCAGGTTATGGTGTTTTTGAAGGTTGAGGCAGGGTGTTCGTGTTTGATAGGTTGCAAGTTGTGGTTCTTTGTTATGACAGTAGTGGTGTTCTCTTGACTTAGGCAGATTGTGGTTCTTTTGAAGGTTGAGGCTAATGCTGGTTTGATATTTTTTTTGGTTATCCTCTCCTACTGTCTAATGCCTGCTATTCTGCACTGTTTCATTGGCTTTTGTGTATTCTCTTTTCTATCTTAAAACTCCCTCTCCTTTTTGCCTGCTGTGCTGAACTGTTTCATATATTTGTGTATATTTTGTTTTCTATCTTAAAACTCCCTCTCCTTTTTGCCTGCTGTGCTGAACTGTTTCATATATTTGTGTATATTTTGTTTTCTATCTTAAAACTCCCTCTCCTTTTTGCCTGCTGTACTGCTATGCTGAGTTTTTTTGATTTGTATAATCTTTTTGTCTTCTCCTCTCCTACTGTCTAATGCCTAACCTGCATCTGCTGCCTTTATCTCTCTTCTTTTTCTCCTAAAGTACAGCTTTTAGATTTAATATGATTATATTTCTGTACTTGCTCTGAAGGGGTTTGACTAGGGAAATGATGTTTAGATCTCTTGCATAGCACATTTTGCATCTTTTCCTCCAGCTTTTGCACTTTGCCCTGACTTTGCATTTTGACCAAACCTTTTCATGACAATTTGGTTACCTGTGATAGCAAATGCACTTTTGCACTTTTGAAATCTTTCTTTGAGTGAACTTTGGGCATTTTGACAGTAGCCTTTGCTTTTGGGTAGAAAGTTTGGATTTGAACTTTTCAGTTTGGATTTGAACTTGGAAATTGAGATTCTTGAATTTTATAACTTATGCATTTTTGACATTTGCATTTATGAAATAAAAAATAATCTTCCCTCTCTGTGAACCGGGAGAAATCCCGTGATTTGCAGAGAGGGTCGACTGATCCCAATCAGTGGCCCCTAATGATGAGCACTTTTTATCTGTCTTTTAATTAAATGCTTTCTGACTTTTCTTGTTTCTTTTTGCAGATGAAAAACGGAATACCGGAGCGGAATGAAGAACGAAGAATATTTAGAAAATAGGATAGTTTTTTATTCTATGTAATATTTAAATTAAATGTAAATTATTGTTTGTAATAAACAACAATTTGTACAAATAATTCCAATATCAATAAAAGTTTGAATTATCCAATTAATTCTAATTTCTTTATTGTTTATTTATTTATTTAAAATTCTTAGAATTAAAACAATTGAAAAATAAATTCAATCATTTAATTTCAGAATAATAAATAACTAAAATAAAACAACATGGATCAATTAAAGTCTGTCTTATCCAACATCCAAAGCAAAGCAGCAATTAACCCAGATAGACTGATCAAACACATGAACACTGTGAATCCAATACTGCATCTTGTATCTGACTGGCCCAATCAACACGTACTGAATTCAAAACCACTGTCTCTTTTGCTGATCAAACCAAGATAACGCGAATTTTAATCCGAATCTCGAAATAAACCGCAAAGTGCTGTTGAATTCAAATTCTTCTGAGAATATGCCCATAAAACCCTAATTCCCGATTAAATGCCAAATCACGCTCGCTTGATCAAAATTGAACCAAAAATCAACCAAACCCTAAGCCCACTGTATGAAACAATTCAAAGCTCTGAAAATCAGTGAAAACCCTAGTTTTGCTTGACTGTCAAGAAAAGTCCGTTTGTCCGATTCTTGAGCCAGTTTGAAAAGTCAGGAAATGTTTGAAGCTGAGATTTCTTGTGGAAAAGCGCGAGGGCAAATTTTGGGGTACAACAGTGTCGTATCGGTTTCATCTTCACAAACAGGACACGCCTTTTGACCCTTGTTGCTGTACCCGGATAGATTTCCGTATGCTGGAAAATCATTAATTGTTCCAAACAACATCGCCCTCAAGTTGAAACTTTCTTTCCTATACCCATCGTAAACCTCCACACCTCTCTCCCACAAAAACTTTAAATCTTCGATTAAGGGTGCCAAGTATACGTCTATGTCATTCCCTGGTTGTTTAGGCCCAGAAATTAGCATAGATAACATCATGTACTTACGCTTCATACATAGCCACGGAGGTAAGTTATAAATCATAAGAATCACAGGCCATGTGCTATGCGAGATACTTTGAATACCATGCGGGTTCATTCCATCAGTAGACAATGACAACCGAAGGTTTCTTGCTTCTTTTCCAAATTCAGGATATTCAGTATCAACTTTACTCCATTGTGGTGAGTCTGCCGGATGTCGCAACTTTCCATCAATAATTCTTTCATCTGCATGCCAAGTCAAGTGTCTTGAATCGGTCTCACTACGATACATGCGTCTAAATCTCGGAATTATAGGAAAATACCATAAGACTTTAGCAGGAGACAACTTTTTCTTATATCGAGGGGCACCACATTTAGGACACTCATTCAACGCTGCATACTCGTTTCGAAACAAAACGCAATCGTTTGGACATGCATGTATCTTATCATAGCTCATTCCAATAGAAGACAACATTTTTTTGGCTTCATACGTTCGATTGGGAAGAACATTATCCTCTGGTAGCATATCTTTCATAAGGGCTAATAACTCTGTGAAACTTTTATCCGACCATCCATTGTCCGCCTTTAAGTTGTACAACTTTAACACCGCAGACAATCTTGTGAATTTTGAACAACCAACATACAACGGTTTCTCTGCATCGCTTACCAACCTCTCAAACATTTTGGGACAATCCGCAAGATCTTCTTCAAGCGCTTCTGCAATCTCTTCGACTCGATCACAATCGTATGTGTCTGTGCAATCGTCGTTTGAAGCATACTTCCTATTACAACTCGACTCAGCATTCCCGGTACTTTTCTCACCATGCATTGTCCAACATGTATAACTTCTATCAATTCCAAACCGTAGTAAATGAGATCCCAACTGATTCCCGTCAACCTTACCCCCGGCATAACAGCAACCCAAGCAAGGACACGGCATTCGAAGCGGGTCTTTGGAGTGCGCAACCGCAAACTCAACAAATTCCCATACCCCTTTCTCGTATTCTTTCGACAATCGGTTTGAATTCATCCATGTCTTATCCATGTCTTAATTAAGCTAAACAAAAACGGTCAAACTTTCACTCTTCACAAGTAACCCCTATGGCGAATTCAATTCACAAAGTTAGTAAGTACCTCACTTAACGATAGATAAATATATGAAATTAAAATTGTAAGAAATCTCTTTTAAATAAAAAGATGTTTTAAGTTTGAACTTAATTTTTGATAGTCTTGTTTAAAATTTTTATTGTATGTGTAGTAGATGTGTCAACAAATATCAAAATACAATGACTAAAATTATGAGTCCACGAGGAAAGATGATAATACAATTTATATGTAATAATTACTATTCTAAGCAAACAAGAGCTTTGTTTGAAAAATGTTTTGAACATAAAAAAATATAAAGTAAAAATAACAATGATAGAAAGTTTTTGGGGGGTTAGGATGTAATTAGTGATTACTATGATTACAGTTATATCAATATCAATTATACACATTTTATCCCTTAATCCATATTTTCACTTCACTATACAAACTCAGCATTTAATTTCAGCAGATTCACACTCTTAACTATACAAACTCAGCATCTAAGCTTACTACTAATTAACCGTCCATGTCAAGCTAATTATCATCAACATCCACTAATTAACCGTCAATGTTTCCCTATAAAAATAACTTTGTTTCATATTTTCTAAATAATTCAGACTACAAAATATCATATCGAAATCAAGTCTAAAGAGGTATGTTTCCTAAACTTCAGAAAGATATATCAAGCTAACCTTATAGGCAGAGCACCCAAAATCAAGCTAACCTTATAGGCAGAGCACCCAAAATCACGCCACTGCAGCTTAGGGCGGCAATTGCACTGTCAGCCTGAAAGAATGAGGCAAGAAAATCTTCAGACAACCAATAAAGAAACGACGCAGGGGAAAACAAACAGTAGAGAAAAGAAATATTGAGACAGCTGCTTTTGCTAACATACAGCCACGATATATAATCTTAAAAGCAAATGTCAAAGAAATAAACAGCTTAGAGGGGATTTACAGTACAAATCTTCAGAGAAAATAATTTGCACGGTGAAATTAATTTTCAAAAGTTCGACTAAATTGAAATCTGCATGCTCAAAACAAAAGCCAAATGAACTTATAATTAATAACTCCGCTAATTCAAACTAGGGAAGCCCAGGCATGGATGACTAATGACTATGAGGGCATTCGTGATAAAAAACTTAGTTAAGCATGTTGTATGTGAGCTTCTGTTTAAGCAGTTTCTACAATCAAAGAGTGAGTAATGGAAAACTTTATATAAGCTCGTAATAAGTTGTTTATATAGACAATGTGGAGTTACTATTACTAAGAAACATGATTACTGACAGAAGAACAAACAGAACGAAGTTGTTTAGGGAGGGAGGGGTGACTGCATTTAATGCGAACAATAACTAGAGAGTACAAACCAAGTAGTAGCACTCAATCTGAGGGCTATAACTTCAAAAAGCAATAGAGGATGTTTAAATTAAATTAGCTAAGCAAACCAGAGTTGTTTAAACAAAGATAAGAAGGTTGTAAAGCTCGTGAGTAATAATTACCACTGTGAACTCAACAAAAGCAATCCGAGTTGAATGATGGTAATCCCCAAGAAGCCTCAGTCGTTGAACCTAGATAATACACCACAATAATGAAAAAGATTTTACAGGATAGTTAAATTCAACTCGCAACAAAAAAACTCAAGCAGACGCAACTTTGCCTCAACAAAAAACTCAAGATTGAAACCATGGAACACACTGATTTTATGGAAAATATCCCTGTAGCACCGACACCTCTGAACAGAGGCGTGTCAGGTGTCCGACACGACACCAACACCGACACACGTGATTACATCCAATTCATTCACTTTTTTAAATTATTACCGGTGTCGATGCATCAGTGTCGGTGTTGTGTCTAGGGTCTGTGACCGTGCTTCAAAGGAAAATATCTCGCTAGATACTAAATATTCAAACAACAATAAGCATTATAAGCTTGATTCCACACAAAAAAAAAACTACAAACCTCTCCACAGATAGACTCAAAGAAGTGTTTCACATCAGCTTGAGTCAGCTGCAAGTATAACAAGAAAATAACTTATTAAGAATTATGAGCTTCCATTGCTACAACCCAGATATGGAAAATGATCAAATAGCTTCTCTAAGCAAGATTTAATGGAAACGTAAAAATCCTAAACTACCTTTTTGTTGACTTCTCTTGCCCACTGCACGTTGAAAACCCTCCAAAACTATAATCTTAGAGGATTTTGCGCCTTAGTAAGTTTTGTCTAGTCGACAACTTATCTTAAAACAACTGTCAAGAGAACACAACAACTTTAAAATATGCTCAACTATTCTTAAAATCAAGCGAATACTTGTCTGTGATACACACCGAGGTATCATTGCGTCCAAGCCACACTACCTAAATCATTTTCATTACCTAAGTTATCTTTCTAAGTCATTCACTTAGTACAAATCTAGATTTAACTTCACTTTTCATCATAGTTTTTGCTCAATTATCATTCAATAAACACAAACAACAATTCATAATATGATTCAAAAACACACATAACCAATTCATTACCAATACTCAAAATGGAGTTATTTATTCTATATGCTTAAGAACTTTGGCTTTAATATTATATTTTGCAATTGAATTACAACAATACTTCATTCAACCAAATTATCAATTTAGTTAATGACAAGGCAACAAGCTTTTTCAACTGTTCTAGAGGAATAAGACAAGGAAATTCCATTTCTATTTTACTATTTTGCATTGTTGAAGATGCTTAAGAAGACAATTTGCAAACATGATTGAACAAAGACATATTACATGTATCGCTCATGACAAAACTAAGTTTCCAAGTCACACTTTCTTTGTAGATGATCTCAGATATTTTGTAAAGCTACCAAAAGTGATGCATATCCTATCCACAAATTATTACATGAATATGCTTAAAATTCATGCCATCGCCCTAGTCCCACAAAATGCAAGGTATCCTTGGTTTTTAGGCTATCCACAAGTTGCATGCATCTTTGGTTTCAACACAAGTCACACAAACTTTGATTGCTTTGGAGTACCAATATTCAAGGGTAAGTCAAGAGTTCAATATTTACATCCAATAGCAGATAAGGCCTAAACCAAATTAATCACATGAAAAGGAAACATCTTATCTATGATGAGAAGAATTCAACTTGTTAACTCGATAATCCATAACATGCTAACCATATTCTAACATTAGTGAAATCCACATGTAAACTCTCAAGAATCAACAACAATCAAACATATCTCATGATTCCAACATAATCCAAAATAATTATAATACCAACACCACAACACATTCAACATGAAATCACACAAGTAAGCATGTATCGTCATCAAGTTTCATGTTCATAACAACAACAACACAAACCCTAACTTCCCAACCATGGATTTTTCTCTCAAAGCTAAAATTTAACTATGAACTCACCTCTAGGAAGAAGATGATGATGAAATATTGGAGACGACTTGATGAAGCAAGCTCTTGATCCTTAAGTATTCCAAGCTTTTTTTCTTTCGAAGAAGACGATTGAGAACGGAGAACGATTGAAACGATGTGAGTTTTCAACGATTAGGGATTTGGAAACGATTTTGTGAGTTTTCTGAGAATGCAAGATTTTGAAACGATTTTGTGAGTTTTCTGAGAATGCAAGAGTTTTCTGAGAATGCAAGATTTTGTGAGAATGAACGATTTCTTGTTTTAAAAAATTTTAATTGTAAAGAGGGTATGACAGTGCTTTTGAAAAGCGCTTTCGTAACTAAGGCTATACCAGCGCTTTTGAGGATAAAAGCGCTCTTGTACCCCACCCCCTATATCAGCGCTTTTGAAAGCGCTTTCATAAGCCCCCTATAAGAGCGCTTTCAGAAAGCGCTTTCATACCCCCCCACTATAAGAGCGCTTTTCAAAAGCGCCTTCGTACCCCAGCCTCTAAGAGCGCTTTCTGAAAGCGCTTTTGTAACCCCCCCCCTTTAAGAGCGCTTTTTTAGCGTGTTTTTTTATTTTGTTTTAGCGCAACCTATACCAGCGCTTTTTACAAAAAGCGCTTTAGTAGGGGTGCTGCTAAAAGACAAATTTGGTGTAGTGAACAAGATTGTTATAGAAAGACAAAATCTCCTACTCAATTTCATCTTGAGTACATAATAGAGTGCCCTTCTCATTAACCAGATTCTGGATATTTCTCAATCTAGATTTACTCTTCAATATGGCATAGAAGTATATGTTGTTGCCGTCACGAAGTATAAGCCAATTCACTTTTGATATTTGCTTAAGCATGCTTTCCTCAATGTTGTTGAGCCTAAGGACCTCTTCAGAAATAATCTTTGACTGCACGATGATCTCTTCATTCATTCTGTTCTTTATCATAGCTATCTGAGTGTCTTCCAACTTTTTCCTTGTTAAGTCCAATTGAGATTTAATCCCTTAAAAGGAGCCTCAATATGCTTAATGTCATTTTTCAATCTATGAAGTTTCCTCCAGATAATATACATTTCAAATCCATCAACATTTTGATTCCAATCTTTTTCTACCGGTTTAATAAAACCATCAGCAACAACAGTTATAACATTCAAAAATTTTAAATAGACTCTATTGCATTTTATTTGGTTTTGGTCATATAGGCAGAGCAAGACATGATCACTCACTTTTATAGTGATGTTTTGTTGTAAACCTGTCAATTTAATTCTCTACTCATACATTTTATAGAAAAAATCATATTTTGTATTAATGTACTCATACTTTCATTTTTTTAAAATGTTGTGTCTTGTATCAGTACCTGTTGGAATAATATAGCAAGTGTGAGTAAGTGGGGAAATAGTCTCACATTGGATATGAATGTGGAAACTTAAGCATATATAAGTGAGAGAACTCACTCACCTATCACCTTAAAATTTTAGATGAATAAATGATGTGTCTCTGACAAATCTACTTATTACTACACAAATATATTTTAGAATATAATATTTATGATATGATGATCCACTTGCATTTTTTTAAAGATTTATTTATCAACCTATAGTTTTAAGATTTATGTTGTACTAATAATTAATTATAGTCAAATAGAAGAAAAAAAAGCTATAGCTGCGGCTTAACGCCACACAAAACAAACAAAATATAAGGAAGTACTACCTCAGTTTTTTTAATAATAATCACTTTTAAACTTTTTCCTCATTATTTTTATTTTTTAAATAAAATAAATTATATTTTACCTATAATATTTTTAATCATTTCTCACATATATTTAACCTTTTTCTCTTTACAATAAATGATTAAAGATAATTTTGACAAAAATGTTATTAATATTATCTTAAATTTTGTAAATAATATTACAAAAAAAATTATTCCAAAAATGACACTTAAAAAAAATGGAGAGAGTATATGTTTGCGGCAATTCATAGTGCCCCTAATATGATCTAAAATTTAATAACATGACGTATTGAAATACGTTTTGCGGCACTTATTGTAGGGGTTAGTGTGAACAACTACAAATAACTTCCCAATGAACAACCACCACGAAAGATGGTATTTAGAAACAACCAGGTCAACTTCATTATACTATTACTATTTTAAACACGTAAAGAAATTATTTCTTCTGCCCTTATTTAATTTTTAAGTGCCAACTCAACCTATTTTGCAACCCCTATTCATGGCAGGGTATATATCTATGTGGAATACGTGCCCTAGTTGAGTTATGAATTTGAGTCATTTCTACAGACAACTTCTCAGTATGTATCCAACAAGGTTAATAGTCATTCATATCTTAAATGCTTAACCTTCTCACCAAACACCTACCTTTGGTTTGGTCCATAGTCGACCACTATTTTTTGCAGCGTGTCAGCCTCTTCTTTCACGTTACTTTATTTTTATTTATTGGCATTTTAATAGGAATCTCAAAACATTAACTTAAAGGCGGTAACTTACTAGTTTTAGTAAAGAAAAATTTATTGATAATTTAAAAAAATTAGAAATGTCCAGCATGCAAATGACTCACCCTTTTGATATATGAGATGTGGGTTAAGCTAATCATAGACATTAACGTAGGGAGGTGAGTCACTATTACTCTGCAATAAATTTTATTAAAATGAATTTGTATTATAACAAAACAACATGGTTCCAAGTTCCTCAAACACGAAACCTATGAATAGAAATAGTTTTTAAAAAAATATAATGGTTCATACTCTCTCATGCATGATTGTAAAAGCGACTAATATAGTTTGAGACATACACATGACAATCATAGTCCTTCAAGCATGTGGCGTCTCAGAGTGAAAACATGACAATTTATAATTTCTCAAATATGAAATAAGTAAAGGTGAAGACATGATAGTCCATAGTCCCTCGTGTACGTGACATTTAAGGGCAAAGGCATGACACTCTATTGTTTCTTAGGGCGAAGTTGTGAAGGGTTTTAGATGGTTGATTTTCTGATCAATGGACCAATTTAAAAAGACTAGATATGTCATTAATGATGGAAATGATTAAAAAGATCGTGTGAAGGACAACTTAATATGGCCCATCCATCGACTTGCATACTTGTGAGAAAATCCACTCATACTCAAAATAACACCAATGATGGCTCTCCTTGTGGTGAAAGAGTTTCGTGAGTGCAATATCATTTCTTAGATGTTCGGAATAATATCAAAACCAGGTGATATATAATATTTATACATTGAACGATATTTCTCTATGTCTAGGTTGCATTTTCATATTAGGACACCATTAGATATTTTCAAAAGTTTTTTGACAAGTTAAAAATGTGCAAAAAATCCATTTTTGTGAAAAAAGTCGACTCACCCGTGGCAGCAGTCGACTTTCCCTGAAGCATTTTTGTGAAAAATCATGATTGGAGTCGACTCACTCGTGACAAGAGTCAACTCCCTCTAAATCATTTTTTAAAACAAACTCTCAGGTCATGGAGTCGATACATAAGCCTTTTGGAGTCGATATACATTGCGAATAAGTCTACTCCTTCGAGTTGTGAGTCGACGCCCACTGAAAGCGTTTTTACAAATTATTCTCTAGTCCAAAGGAGTTGACTCCCACGTATCAGGAGTCAATACATACCACGAAGGAGTCGACTCCCACGTGTGTGTGTGTGTGTGTTGAATCATACTAAAGCTGTTTTTCAAAAATTCTTCTTTGTCCAAAAGGAGTCGACTCCTAGGCTGTATGGGTTGACTCCTTTTCCCTTAAGAGTCGACTCCTACTTCAAATGGGATGACTCTCACTGATCAAAATGTCCAATTTTATAATTTTACAAATCTATTTTTTTTTGTTTTCTCTCTCTCTCTCTCTCACACACACACACACACACACATATTTCATGCATCATTTCAGAAATACGAAACCAAAAATATATAACGGTTTTCATCATCTTCATCCTCTCTTATTGCATACATACAATAACTACACATAATAATTTTTGTTGTGTGATCAAGATATGGTTTGATAACGTCTAATTAGGATTCAGTGTAATCAATTGAGTTGAAAGATCTTTGGAGTTTCAAATAAGAAAACCAAGTTGGGGTTTTCCTTCAAGATCATTGTTGATTTGAAGGTTTTGTACAAGATTACACAATTTGGATTCAATCGAGTGAAAGCTTCGACGATTGGTGGGTTCAGTTGAAGGAGTAACGATATGTTCGCAATTTAGATTCAGCCAGGCAAAGATTTTGAAGAACGGGGGTTCTGTTAACAGAGTAGTGGTAATCGGAGGATCAAATTGAAAGTAGTGGTTTCACTTGATCAAACTCTGATTAAGGAGAGAGAAAAAGATAAGATCAACATCAAACTTAGGTTTTTGAGGGTTGGATTACTAATTGCTCTCTTGTAAATAATATTTTGCAAAGGTTAATTTTCATTATCTCAATTCCAAATGGAATTGGGGGTAAACTATCCATAACGAGACAGATATTTGGGGGACAACCTAAACAAATCATTGTGTGTGTCTCTCTCTCTCTGTCTTTCTCTCTCTCTCTCTCTCTCTCTCTCTCTCTCTCTCTCTCTCTCTCTCTCTCTCTCTCTCTCTCTCTCTCTCTCTCTCTCTCTCTCTCTCTCTCTCTCTCTCTCTCTCTCTCTCTTTTACATTTACTTGCAAATTATGCAGTCGATACATTGAGATAAACTTTTTATTAAACATTACAAACTGTTTTGTTGAGTTTATTACAATCTTTGTGATTGTAATTGGATTTACATGTCAATAAAACTATTAAAAAAGTTGTATTAAATTGATTGCACACCAAGTGTTTGACAAATTGTCTTAGTCATATTATGTTGATTATTTCTTTAGAAATTAATTGTTATAGTGTGGTTTATTCAAACGTTGTTTGTTGGAAATATATTGGTTGTTTTTCTCATCGTTCTTAAACTTGTTCAATTGGTTTAACACATATCTGGTCTTTTTGATAACGGTTCAGATAGATGATTATCGATCCGGGTTGTTTCCGTACGCCATATTTTAAAACTAAATTTTAATTAGAAAATTTCATTTGTGATCTATTCAGACCCTCTCTAGATCGTATCATATCTTCTAACAAGATGTATTAAGAGTGTTAATTTATCTTGTGCTTCAAAATCACTTATTAGATAATGGATTCCGAATCAAAAGGGGCGTATAATAGAGCACATATCTTCAATGGCGAAAAATATGGTTATTTGAAAGATTGTATGCGTATCCATCTTAATTTCGTTAGTAGGAAAGTATGGAGCACCATCCAAATTGGTCCATTTGAATATTACAGTGTTTTCCATTGCACAACTACAAAAGCTATGTGGGACTCATTACAAGTTGCTCAAGAAGGAACTAATGAAATCAAATAAACTAGAATCAATACTTTGAATCAAGAGTTTGAACTCTTTCATATGAAACATGGTGAAACCATTATCGATGTGCAAAATAAGTTCACTCGTTTGAATGCATTTGGCAAGCTCGTTTCCAATGAAATTGCTACTAATAAAGTGTTAAGATGTCTTAATAGAGAATGACAATCAAAGGTTACCGTAATAAAGAAAGATATTGATCTATTGATATTGGACACCACTACTTTATTTGGCAAGCTTGAAGAACATGAGCAAGTGCTCATTTTCTTAGAGAAGCATGAGAAGAAGATTAAGAAAGAAAAAACAAGGAAAAAGAGATAGACAAGAAGTCAATTGCTATTATGACTTCTAGCTCTAAGTCCTCAACTATAGAGCAAGATGATAATGGATCTAGTGATGATGATTGTTCAGATGAAGAATATATATGGATGTTTGTTAGAAGATAAAATAGGTATCTCAATAAAAACAGAGTGAATCACTCCGACAAAGGTCTCATCAACTATAGAAGACAATCAAATTCCTCAAGTCAAGAT